AAAGGGTACCAGAGTGACTGGTTCTGCTACCCAATTCTGAAGCAAGGCTCTAGGACAGCTGGTGAGTTTTGCTTCAAATTAATATATGTATTATAAAGACAGCTCTGCTGGTGCTTTCAGGTAGGGCTAGCTTTAATGAACTGCTGGAAAATAATCAGGCTATTTGGAAAGAAATGGTTTGTCAGGTGGGTTAAGAGCTCTGAAGAAGCTGATGACCACAGGTAGTGCTGAGTTTTGATCCATTGTCTGAACTATACTGTGTAATTTTGGCTGTCTCTGATTCAGTCTACATCTAGCTTAGTTCATGGTGTTTGGCTGTTATTTGTTTCGAAATAAAAACTGTCCACGTGCTATACTGTATACACTCAAAAGTTGCTCGTGTGGAAGCATGATGGTATGAGATCTGGACTTTCAAATTTCCCAGGTTTGGGACTATGACAGTATTCTTTTTTAAAGAACATATTCTTTGTAGTCAGCTAGCACATGGATACACTTCATAGAGAATTTATATATAGTGCTATATATTTTCTGCCTTTCCAATGACCTAACATAAACAAGAAATGCTTTGGCTCAAGTAGGTTTGGGTGGGCTGTCTTTTTTTTTTTGAGGGGGGGGGGAGGGGGGTGGGTGGAGGGCCCTTGAGATGTGTTTCCTCTAAAAGTGAAATATGTAGATGGCATCTGATGAAATCAGTATTGCTATTCCTGCCAACTTCTTTTTTCATTCTGCAAGCCCAATAGTAACTCTCTGAGGACTGGTGTGCTTTGTATGTTTTAATTAAAGTTAATTTCATCTTGAGCTGGATTTATTGCTGAACAACTAATTCCTTAACACTGGCTAGAGACCTTGGCGTTAAAAAAAAAGATCTATACTGCCTTCATGCATTCCAGAACTGGTGCCCAGTGTTTTGGAAGGCATGATGCCAAAACCTTATACATGATTTCTTTTTTTCTTAGCTTTTCATGGACGAGCCCCAGCTGTGTCTTCTCAAGGATTATAGTTGCAGGGCTTTGTTTTCAGGTTCTAACCATAAATGTAGACATAAATATACCCTGAGCAGACTAACTGGAGCTAATAATTTTATTAAGGGGTAGAGCTGTCTTGTAAATATATATCTGGCATACAAATAACATGTGTAGATGAAATTGAATAAGAACATTTGGAAACAAAGCCAGAAAAATCTCATAAAGAATGCATTGGAGAATCCATATAGTTCATAAATAATTTTTGGAAGAGAGTGTCCAGCTGAGTTTTGTTATGGTTCTCCCATACAGTGAATAATGATGCAAGCTGATTATGAAATGTAACATGTTAGTAAGTAAATTAGGTTAATGTTTCACATTTTTACAACTTTGCAGCAGAGAAAGGCACTGATACTGCTGTGCATGAAATATTTAATTACTGATGTCTATTAAACTTCTTACAAGTTACACATGTGCTAATACAGGCGTGTCTGACAGACTACTACAAATGTGAATTCAGCTTGTGAATGACCTCTGAATCCTTCGGAGCCTAATGTCCAGGTACACTTCTGTTAGTATGACCAGACAAACTATGCAGATGTCCAATCCCTGTGCCAGGGGCGTGCCTGAGCACCATGGACAGAGACTGACAAAGCCAGGAAAGGCTTATTTCCTGAAGGGAAGAAAAAGAAATTACTTCACCTGTAGTCTTTCAGGTCAGAGAGAGAAGGAAAACTCTTAATGCTGAGATCCTTGGCCACCAATTTGTCAAAATGGTTGCCCTTTTCATGGATTTTAAAAGTCCAGGTCATATTGAGTAAGGCCTGTCATCAGTCATGACTGGGCTTTGCTTCTCCACATTGTTGATGCTTCTCAAAAAAAACTACCTCTTAGTTACATGTTTGCCAGAATCTTATGGGTTTCATTCTGTTTATTCTCACTGAGATGCAGAGGAATTTCTCAATAATCTACTCTGAAATACCACTTTATTTTTATTTTGGAGATGACCAGATTCTTCAGGTATTATGGCTGAACAGTGTAGAATAGTTCATAAAATTATCTATATAATAGTTTATAAAATGTTTGCTGTGTTCAAATATTGTGTCAAATTCATTCCAAAGAGATGTGAACATTTAATGTTTGATTGTCTGTCAAGAAGCATAGTTTTTGCAGAAACTCCATTAAAAAAAAAAAGAAAATAGTAGGGTTTGTTTGTTTTTTTTTCTTAATTTTTTTTTTTGTGTGTGGTTTTTTTTTTTTGTTTTGTTTTGGGTTTTTTTTGCCTGCTTTTGGTTGTATCCAAGCTTTTTTATGTACCCAAGGCTCAAGCTATCTCGAACAGAGAATTCACGCATGGGTCATGCACTCCACTTGTTTCTTCTATTGTAACACAGTTTTCAATGGCAGTATGTCACTCAATATTATCTTATGATAAGGAGCTAGTTAAAACAAAGAACCACAATATTATTGTACTGTATCTGAACTTACTGGTCATTTTTTCTTTGCATTTCTTTCCATGGAATTTGCATGCTTGTTTGAAAACCTTAATGTCACTGCCATAGAGGCTTCTCCGTATTACCAGTGAAGATTAGGTGGGATCCTTATTTTATGATCTATTTCTTTGAGTATTATTACTGTTGGGAATGAAAAAAACTAAAATAATGTTTCCTGTCTTTTGGCTAGTTCTTGAGCATATGGAATGCATTGTAGCAAAGTTTAATAAAAAAATAATGAAATAAGCTGAAATATGCTACTGATAATATCTTTAAAGGTATTTGAACTTTTTGAACATTATATGCCTAATCAGAAAGCCTGAAGTCTTTGCTAATTCTGTTTTATAATGCCTTTCTGCTCTTGCACACTATTGACAGGCTTCAGTAATGGGAGCATAAAGCTAACAGGACTGATAATGGGCTGCCTTGCCCAGCAAACCCCCTGCATGGAGCAGGAACTTTGCTTTACTCACAGACTTGCTGATGAGGAATAGCTTATTTACAGCAGAAAATCTAACCATAAATCAAGCCCTTGTTTTTTTCAGGTCTGGAATATCTGTGTGAGTGGTATTCTAACATTGAATTAATTACAGTTTGGTTTGGGTTTGTTTTTTTTTTTCATTATTATATTAATTATATTACAATGGAAGAGCATTTCAATGTTGAACAAGCCTTAAAAATCTTTCTCCTTTTTTCTATATTTTTAACTCCACGCTCACTTTTGACTGGATAGGGTCATGCAGTTCTCTCCTGTGCTGTTTTTGTTCTCCTCAGTCAGACCCTTCTGTGTTGCTTTTGGGTCAGAATCTTCTTTTACATCTATTGATCATGTGAACATGGATGTAGAACTATAATTTCAAAGATCTTTCTGGTTCATGATACCGGTGTGCTAAAAGAAAAAAGCAAAAGTGATGATTGGTATATATGCTAATTGAAAGGCAAAAGACCAGTGAAGTCCATTTCTGTTTAAAAGACATCAAATTTTTAAAGCAGACATGTTTAAATATATCTTCTCTCCAAGTCACAACTGATAGTGCTACTTTGCTGAGCACAGTGTTGATGAAGATGATCTGTGTAAGATCCATCTCAGCAAAATCTTCACTGTGATGCTTTTCTGAGAACAGGTGAACTGCTTGGCCTTGTCTGCTTCACAGGGAACGTGACACTTCTGGCCTCTTGGCATTTTATTGCCTTCCACTGCCATGTGCTCTTTGTTACAGACTCAAATGCCAATTCAAGAAGAGAGCTCTTTAATTAAAATATTCAGAATCGTCACTTGAAGCATCTAAGCAAAGATACTCTTTGTACTCTCCATATTATTAAAACCCCATGCACCAATGTTTCAGGTAAAAAATGCTTTCTGCAGCAGCCAGGAAAGTCTGGTGAGAACAGTTCATCCCATACATTTAATTTTCTTTAAAGATTTCTAATGTACACAGAAAGCATCTTCGTTTCATTTATCTGAATCACCTCTGCCACAGACCATGCATGGTCATTCTCCCAGTACACATGTTATCTTGGACTGGTCACTCAGGTCAACCAGGGTGAATCTCAGGCACCTTTTGAGTTATACAAGCCAATTCTGTCTTCCTTACTGCACAACAAGGTATTCAGCAGGACTTATGGAGCAAATCTGCTGGGCAATTCTTCCTACTCTTAGCTTCTAGGAGTAAAAACTGTGAAAGGGCAGTGGAACCTGCTGGTCAGAAGCATACTTTATTCCTTCTGCTGGCTTGCAAGAATTCAGTGCAAACTTGCTTTCTATTTTAGGTATCCAAACATGAACAACAACCAAAGCTGTTGCTTTGCAGGAATGTCTCTGTTAAAAGTTGATTTCTTGGCATAATCTTGGCATATTCTCCTGTCCTTTATAGCTGAGCAATGAAGGTAGCTAGTAAGGTTGTAAAGTTAACTCCTAACCAATTCAGCTCATTCTCCATCTCAACATGAAAGTCAAATACATTCCATTTCTGGACCAAGAACTTTATGTAATGAAAAAAAATGTTAATATCTAAAGAAATAAAAAAAAACAGGCACCTAAAGACAATGAACCCTGGAATATTATTTTGTTTAAGAAGAAAGCAGACTGAAGGGGCTCCATCCGAACCAAAATTACAGGTTTTGAACTGTTTGTAAGAAAAAAACATCTGATTGCCTGAAGCCCTGGCAGTCTCAAACACGTTTGTGAGAGTGGAGGTGAAATGGCGCTGCCACCTCCGGTGAGGACTGGCTGTTAAAAAAGCACTGATGAAGACAGCCTGGAGCCATAGTAGCTGGTTGTATCTATGACCCATTTGTTTCTGCTGATGACCAAAACTCAGGAGAAAGTGTGAGGATTTTGATGGCAGATAGTAGATGAAAAATCTTCCACAATTCTTCCTGATCCTAATTAGCTGAATTATGGTTTAGTTTTTTGTAAATGAAGGTGTTTTTTTTTTCCCCTGCTCTTAAAAAAAATGTAGATATTTCCTCATAAAAAAAAAAGATTGAATATAGAACAGTTTTATCTTCGTATACTGAAGTAATTCCATTTAACTTTCTGTAGGGCTGGCCTTTGCTATTCTGTCTTCAGTCCATCCGGTTTTTGGTTTATATGGCTCTTTCTTCCCTGTCATTATATATGCCATATTTGGAATGGGACGTCATGTTGCAACAGGTAAGTGTCTATTTGCTAATAACATTTTCAGAAATAAGATATTGAAAAGTGAACATTTTTGTTGTTGTTGTTGTTATAAGATCTGTGGGAGTTATCTAAGACTAAACAGAAATAAGATTTTTTTTGCTACTTTTTACAACGTTTTTTCCAGCTTAAGTACTTCAAAGAACCTCATTAAGAATATATAGCAGTTATTCCTACCATTATAATTTAATATTGCATTGACCCTTCCTTTGTAAACGTAGTTTATTAAGGGCTTTTGTATTTTAATTCTACTTTAGAAATCTGCTTCAGGCTAAGATTTTAACAAAGGGCTCAGCCAATAAGCTATATGCAAGCAGGAATGAAAATGTCCCAACTGCTTCTTAAACCATAGAAAACACACATTACTTCTCACCTGTCTAAAACACAAACCTTTAATTTTTCACAAAAGAAGCTTTCTGTGCCTATTGCCTGCTATTGTGTTAAAGCTAGAGATTCTTCCAGTGAGTTCAATACAACCCCTCTCCACTTGCAGAGTAATTGGGTAGGCAGCAAAAGTAGCTACAAGAATCGAATGACTGATTTCCTAATAGGTTGGCAAATGTTCTGATTCTGACTCCAAGAAACTAAATTATAGATGGAAGTGATGTGCAGAAGTGGGCACTTGGTAGCCTCTGAAGTTTGCAGGAAGGATGAGGCAGGCCTATAATAACACAGAGCAGGACTGGGTAAAGAGAAGCAGCCTCTGGTTGTCAGAAGATTTAAACAGAAGGAAGTATGTTTTACCTGCGGAGGAGAAAAGTTCCTGAAAGGAAAAAAGATAGTTCTGGGTAATCACTCGCAAAATGAAATGCAGAATCTGATTGCTTGCGTGTAGATACTTTAGTTTATGCAGTGATTTAGTAAGAAGTTAGCTACATATTTTGAGCACCTTTTGTGTCAAAAAAATTTCTGTTAATTTAAAATATTATTAATATTTTAAAAACAGTTTACATATAATTTTAAAAAAATTAAAATATTTTAAAATGTTAAAAAATGCTGAACAGCTATAAATTTTCTTAGAGCAACAGGAAAGATGAAAGTTTGTTTTCCCTAGAGGCACAGAAAGTATTTGAATCTTTTAATGGCTGAGAAGGATATGTGGATGCTGTTAGTAACCTGATGCTGTAATGAGTTTTGAGATGTATTCAGCTCATGTGAAAAGAAGAGGCATTAAAAAAAGTGAAAATTTAGAATTTGGAAAATAATTTTGACTCGAGTAGATATTTATTAGCATACTTATTAAAACATAAATGTGTATTAAAAAGCTGTTTCAAAACTGAATAATTTACAGTGTATTTTCAGCAGTTTATTAGTGTAAGATTATTAGGAAGACAAGAATCCATCATATGATCATATGTAAGAAAACAGATAAATAGGTATCTGGCTGACAAATTCTAGTAATGAAACTAGATGATAAAATGGGTAAGTAAAGGTGTTAAGTGTGATGCTTTATCCTTGGGACAGAATACAATTCAGAGAATTATTTACTGAGTCCGATAGCTCCATGGTTGTGGATTCCTGCAGTCCTTGGTGTGGAAACCTGTTCCTTTCATGTGTGTCTGTTCCGTAATTTAATCTTAAGAAAAAAAAGGCAACAAAGCAGTTCTCCTGTAGTCATGAAGAATTTTTTTATTTTATAAATGTATGAGACATGCTGTTCCTTTCTGTAGAAATGTCTCATGTACTTGTCCTACTGACCTTGCTTAAGGCATCCTGGTGTGCAGACTGAACTGGAGCTATACTGCCTGCTTCACACCCTCAAATGCTCTGTAATTCCTCACGTACATTGGTGACACAGAGCGGTGTTTTTTGTATGTAAAGAGATTATGAAATTGCCCTGTGTTAGCTAAGTCAACCATCTTTATATGAAATGGAAAACTAATAAATGTCCCAGTTCTGTCAACTTTTAGTCACTTGAAACGTCTCTTCTGTGAGAAAGTTGATCTACTTTAAAAAGTTGCTTGCTTGAAAATCTAACATCTGACCCACCCCTTTTTCTTGACTGTTTGTGGCAGAATTGATCTTGGAGCATCCTCTGCGACAGCTTTATCTGTCATAATATCGCATATAGGTCTTTGATTTCAGGTAGAATTATATGTAAACTGTTTTTAAATCCAATTTTATGTAAACTGTGTTTTATCTGTTTTATTTGGGGGTGGTTTTGGTTTCTTTTTGTTTGTTTGTTTTTAAGTAAAATGAGAGAATGGGTTTGAAAGAAAAAAACATCTGAAAAGTAAAATACCTACAACAATCCTGAGTGGTTTATGGAAAAAAAAAACCCTAAAGGAACTGTCACAGGGAAGAATTTGGCACTTGTAGAGTGGAAAGCTTAGCTAAATGAGGTGAGCAGAAAAGCCATGAAATGACAGGTCAAACATATGCAGGTAGTATAGAAGGATTAAAAAATGAATTTGAAGAATGCCATGGAAAGGATAATGAAACTGGAAGTTAAATGTTCTTTCAATACATCAAAACAAGGACTCTGGCAAGGAAACTGGTGGGACACCTTTCTGACAAAGGTATAAGAAGGACATTCTGTGACAAGATCACAGCATTGTCAAGTTAACAGTGTAATTGCACTGTCAGAAGGGCTTTGGAGGGAATCCTGGGAACTGCAGCCCTGTATAATAAAAATTAGGATACTGAAATATAATCAGAGTCTGCTTGAGAGGAGTTAATATGACTCCTGTAAAGGAAAATCCTACCTTACTAACCTCCTCGAGTACTGTATGAGTGTTAGTAAGCACATGGAAAAAGGAAACCTTTAATATAAAATATCAGAATGGTCAAACTGCTACTGATAAGGTTCCACATCAAAGGTTACTAAAGAAACTAAGTTGCCCTTGTGATTAAAAAAAGTTCTTTTATTGATTATTATCAGGTTAAAGGATAAGAAATAATAGGTGGGACTCAGTGCTTCAGTGTGAAGGTGTCCTTGGTAGGCTCCCGAGTTCATGCGGGGACATTTACTCTATAAAGGCCAAGATGAAGCTAGAACTGTGTTCACCATGTCCTGCAACAGTAGTAACAAGGAGGGCTCAATGAAACTAGTGGGAGATCACTTTAAAAGACTTTTAAAGTATAAAGAAAATACTGCGACAGATAGTGAACTTATGGAGCCTGCTCCCAAAGGACATTGTAGAGGCAAAAAATGCAAGCAGTTTCAAACAGAGCTTTGACAATTCATGAATGCTAGTCCATAAACAAAATCTAAAAGGGCCAGATAAGGATATACTTCCCTAACATAACAGCTATGGATACTGAAGGATTATGAGAGGAATGGCCTGAAGAATACGGCCAGGCTTGTGTGCTTTCATTGGGTAATGCTCTTGATTGCCACAGCTGGAAGCAGAGTACTGGAGAAGATGGACCATTGGACTGAGATAGGAGGGTATTTCTTATGCTCTTAGAGCTTTGCAGAAATGCATTGTGCCTTTTAATATTAACTTATCGTCCTTATTTATCTGTATGTCATTAAACTTGCTTTACTTTTTTCAGTAAATTAATGTTTCTTTCATAATCTGTCTCCATCTGTTAGAGTGCTAGGTACTCTATAAAGGGCTAGGTACTATATATATATATATACATATATATAGAGAGAGAGAGTGTGTGATTAATTGCCCTAGAAATCTAAATGGTGAACATTTAGGATTCTCAGGAAAAAATGCAGTTTCATCACATCTAGGGTGAATTAAAAACATTCCTGATGACTTGAAATCATTGTGAATTGTTGTTTTCAAAACTTTTTCGTTAATATGTCTAAATAAGGCACTGGAATAGGTTGCCCAGGGAGGTTGTGAATACTCCATCCCTGGCAGTGTTCAAGACCAGGTTGGACAAGGCCTTGGGTGATATGATTTAGAGTAAGGTGTCCCTGCCCATGGCAGGGGGGTTGGAACTAGATGATATTAAGGTCCTTTCCAACCCTAACGATTCTATGATTCTATGATTCTATAAATGTATTTAGAAAAGAATTTGCATTTAATTTGTCATACAAAAGACATTTTGCGTGAAGAAATGTTTGTTACATAAAAAGATTACCTTAAAAATTATTCTTATCATGACAGGAATGCACAAAATGTCACTTTCACTCATAATGGCCAAGTTTTGAAAAAGAGACCATAAGTGATGAGTATGGACAGATACAGAACTACTAGTGACTAATGTGTGGCTTTTTTTATAGGAACTTTCGCTTTAACTTCCTTAATATCTGCCAATGCTGTTGAGCGTCTTGTTCCTTCAGCCAGCGCTAATTTCACTGCAAACAATAATTCAGGAGTTTTGGGCCTATCAGAGTTCGAAATGCAGAGGATTGGTGTTGCAGCAGCAGTGTCATTTTTAGGAGGAATCATCCAGGTTTGTGGTGAACACATTCTTTATACACTGCATTTGTGACAACTATGACTTTTGTAATACTTTTCAGCACTTCTTTGAGAAAAAGAGAACATTGGGTCTGGTCCAATGTTAATGAATGATGAAATTAATGTGTTTTAAGAATTTGCTACTCTTTCGTTGAGATGTACTGATCGCATGTATACATGCTCATCGGGTGTTGCGATACGAAGTAAAACCACAGCGAGCTCTAATACAGTATTCAGTTGCTGTTGGTGCTCCCTTTCCTTCTCCTTCAGAAACAAAACATGAATCAGCTCCTGGTAAGCACTGACATATTCCTGAGGATTTCTGTTGCTCTTTGTTGGAAGAAAAATCCATACAGTATTCAATGATTAAAAACCATAGGGAAAGCATCTTTAAAATCTTTTAGAGTTCTCACACACATCATTAAAGTGAAGCAAATTAGTAAAACAGGTGTCTTCAAATGATTCTCCAAAGTTTATTCAAATGATTAGAGGTCTTATAGATTTCTTGTCTTTTTCTTTTCTGATCATGAGCTCTGAGTTCCTTTATCCATTGCCAGCTGCTTAGGTCTTCAAAAAAGGCTTCCCTCTTTCCTTCTTAATATTAAAATGGAAGAAATGTTCTATCACTTGACATTGCAACACCTTCTGGGTACCCTGGCCTTCTGAAAGAAACCTAAACCCCTGTGTTTGATGCTTTGGATCTCTATACTATACAGAGCATGAGTGACGGAGCTTCGAATGGCATCTCCAGTGGCCTGCATGCTTGGTGGGAACAGGGTCATATGCTTATGTTAGTCAGTAGGATACATCAAGAAGCAAGTTCATTTCTGTTGCACTTTTTTTTCATTCTTTTATTGGTTACAGAGTTATGACTTGGGGTAGCAGCATGAGCAAAACCCAATGGATGACATACAGGGTAGAGCTGATGTTGATTATGCCTGGCTGCTGCATGTGCTGTCCTGTTGCACTGGTGTGTGCAACATGACACTGCATCATGTGCAGGGTGCTTGTATCAGTAGAGTCCTTTGAGCATCCACGGAGTTCTTCATATGGGAGCACTGCACTCACAGCCTGACAATCTCCTGTGTTGCCCCCAGAGAGGCCAAAATGTCTTATGTGGCAAGCTGGTACCTGCATTTCATCTGACACCAAAATCCAATGCAGAATTATTTTGCTTAGCTGCTGATGAATCCCATTAGGTGTGTAAATCCTCTAGACCTATTACTCTTTTGTTCTGAAAAGTTCTGCTTTATTGTGTGCCTTCGACTGCACCAGCTGGCTTATGTCAGCCTGTGTCCTATTTAAGCCTGATTGGAATAAGAAGAACTAAAAAATCCTCTGCCTGCTTCTTCAAAGCATGCCTGATAGGGAACTGTGCCATGGGCCTGGGCTCTTCTCCCAGGTCAGTAATGTTGCTTACGGTAGAGTCATACTAAAACAGCTGGTGCTTGTAGTGCTGCCATTAGTCTTTTATGCAAATTTAATGGTTAGAGACCAGATTAAGATACTTATTTCCTAGAGTAGTACCTTGTAGCTACTGATATGTGATATGCAAGTGATAGTCTGGATCGAAGCTGTAATTAAACTTTGCCATCATCCCAGGTGCTATGAAGTGTGGGAATCCATGTTTCTCATCATGATTCCAGACTCCTAACAGGTGCTGCATTTCCTAGATAAGGCGACAGGGCACATCTTGCTGTTAATGAAGAGCTAAGTCAGTGTGCTGCTTCTAGTTATCAGATTAAATTAGAAATTAAGGAATAGCTTGGAATAGATGTGGTATTCTGTGACAAGAAGAATAAAGTGATGCATGTTGAGGCAACAGTTTTCCATTGAAGACATCCTGAAATACAAAAAGAAGTGGAATTGTTAGTGGAGTTGGGATGGTATTTCTCTGGAAAGGGAGATAACCTGGGTAAAGGTGTCTACTATAAGACTGTTTATTCATTCTGAAAAAAGTTAAAATGCAGTGCTCTAATTAGCCACCAATTATACAGAAACAGCTGATGCTATGACTATCCCATTGGGCAGCTTCCATACAAAGGATGAAATGTCCCTCTCTAAAGCAGGTGGTTCCTTCTTAGAAACAGTAGGTAAAGACCTGAACTTTTTTGGCCAGAAAAGCAATTTGATGCTATTTTTCCTGTAGCCTGGCTAAGTATTCCAATCAGCAAATAGCATTAAAAAAAGAACAAAACATACAGACTAGTGAGTCATGGAGGAAAGGCAAAGGGAAGAGGTGTGGTTTTGAGATTAATTGCTGTTGGCTGCTTTGCGTTTTATGAAGACTAGAAGTGTGCATCTGTGTGTGAGGCAAGCTCTGAGCAGGTTTTGTGAATCTCAGTGCCATATAGACTTGAAGTACATTAGAACTGGTTTCTGATCATCAAGTAAGAAGAGGTCGAGCTTCTGAGATTTTAAATATGTGGCTTAGTGGCTTAATTTTTTTTTCAGGTAATAAGTTTCAGATTCCTTAACTGCTTTTTATATCTAATATTTGAAACAGTGTGGATAAAAGAAGGAAGATATTTGGTTATCTTAAAAAGCATTCTAATGAAGATAATATGGTATTAAAATAGAAATTAAGTAAACACAATGTAAGAACTGTAATTATAAAAAGAAAAAATACAATGCATTCACAGAGACTATTTCATTTTTAAAAGCAGAATGGAAGGTATCATGCAGATTTTTTTCATGTTGTATAACTGCTACTCTATAAACAGGGTGATGGAAAACTAAACAAATTAATGAAATTATTCCCTGGTATTAAATACCTCAGAATTATTGATGGGGAGATGAAATAATAGAATATAACAGATGCCAATGGAAGAATTTTGTAATTAGAATTGGATGATGCCTTTATAGCAGAAAAAAAAATCCTCAAAAACATAAGCCTTTGGGTAAGATATTTCTTCTTATTAGTATATTATCTGTTCAAGAATGCTCGCATAATTGTATGTGTCTATAAAACCCTCAAAATTCTAAACTAAAATTCAATATTTAATTTGCTGAATAAACAGAAGAAAGCTGCTTACATTTCAGAGTGAGGAAAAATGCATATCAGAGTGAGGAAAAATGCATATCAGAGTGAGGAAAAAATAGGTTTTATCCTAGAAAGAAGCATTATTCTCCTAAGAGCTGCAGTGATACATACTTCAGTTGTGCTACACTTCTGTAAGTGCTGGTTATTGCATTCCAGCAATTTGGTTTTTAAAGACTTACAGATAATTAGTTGCTGATGTACAGTATCGGAAATAAAAAGTGTATCTGGTTATCAGGAGAACAAATTTACATGGTCTATTTTCAGCTTGCTTAATAATGAAGCAGCACACTTGAATATGAAGTGTGCTTTTGTAAGGCTAATGGTATTGTCCAAAGCTTTGTTTCCCTGTGGGGAAAATCATGCTGCATTATTCTATGTTACACACAGTTTTTCATTAGGTGCAAACATGAGTCTTTATTGTACAGTGATAATCAGGAAAAGAGCTCATTTTTCTTTCAGTGGAAATAACTTCTTGCAGGCTCATATTCTGTATGTTGAAAAGTACAACTAGGCTGAATGGGAGTCCTGGTTCCCACAGTTATGGCACATCGTAGAATCAGAGACTCATAGAATTGTTTAGGTCAGAAAAGACCTTTAAGATGCTACATGTTAGTCCACAAAGACCACAGAAAGAAGTCTTTTTCAGGTCCTGGGGTGAGGAAAGCTCATGCCAAACACCATCAGAAGCTATCAGATACTCTCAAGCCACCCACAATGAACTTAAGAGCTTCAATTGAAAAGACCAAAAGCTACCAATTATAATGTCTACTGAAACAGGTTTAAAATTGATGACTTGGTCAAGCTGAACTGTGTCTGACTGTTTCCTCCATGTGGTCTGTAGATGCCTTCACTTTTGCAGCTTCTGATTCTGAGATAACCAATGCAACATGCTAAATGAGAAGCTCACAGCCTGTACTGTTTCTCTTGAAGAGGTACTCCCTATGGCTGACCTTGTCTTCTTGGCCCATGCAGCAAAAAATCAGAGACAGTGCCACCAGGTTTTATTCAGTTTAACAGGGGAAAAAGCCACACCTTCTACGATGTGGAGTTTTGAGGGGTTTAAATTTCATTTGCCAAAACTGAATTCATGCAGCAGGTAATATGACATCAGCCTTTCAATTACTGTGGACAGAAAGTCTGACATTAGTGATTTCCAGAGAGCTGTTAAGGGATAAAAATTTTTACTGGCCATAAAGTTCGATTTACTACACAGCAAGAGTGGAATTTTAACAATAATAAACTGAGTGTGTTGTCATGGTAAGAAAGTATTGAAAGTGGATAAGAACCAAAAGGGCTTGGATTAATGAACACAGAGGGCTTTGTTTTTTGCTATTACTCTTTTCTTTTCTCCTGGCTCCATCCCCATTCTTTTCTTCTACTTGTCAGAGTAAAATTATGGACCAGTAAAGACAGCTGCAAGAAAAGATTCCCTTTATATTATCTTTCTTCCATTCAAAACTATAGGGTTTTTTTAATGTTTTTTTTTCTTTTTCTAAATGCTACCACTTCTGTCTAATCAAATTCTCTTTTACAGTGCATTAAATCAAGACTGCTTTCCTTTACTTTCTCCTGAGTTTTTGTTGGGTTTTTTCCCTTTCTCTGACAGCTCCTGATGTCATTCACATGAAGTTAATTGAAAATGTATACCTGGTGAAAGCAAAATTCATCTTGAGCCTTTTACGTGGTGTGATGTCCTGAAGAAGCTGCACAAAGGAACTAGAGCCATGTGTATTACAAACCATTTTTGTTACTGTGATTGTTCTCTCTCTGAAATATTCCTTCATCCCCTAGGAACTAAATATTCAAGAATGAAAAATTCTGAAGACAATTCTAAAATACATGAAAATTTTCTTCCTTTTACATTTTAAGAAAAGACCATGATTAGTACAAATAACGAAAACAGAAACATATTTACCTTTGGCATTTTTTTTTTATTTTATTTTTTGCTGTTCTGACATTTCACTATCAGTTTTCCCTGTAGTCTGTCTGAATCAAAAGGAAGAAAAATCATACAACTTATAAGAATGTAAGATGGGAAAGCTGCAAAAACAACCACAGTAAAGATAAAATAGATTATTAGAAATTTCTTCAAAAATATTGAACTTTCTGCATTTTGGTTATTGCTTGGTGGGTGAAAGATTTTATGGCATTATGCAATGTAACGCAATTGTGTGCTGCCAGCTGAGCTTAGTTTAAAATAGTATTTATCCAAGAAGCAGCGACAGCCTAGCTGTATGCCTTTTGCCCAGCATGGAGGGTGAATTGGAGAGTTCATAGAATCATAGAATAGCCAGGGTTGGAAAGGACCTTAAGATCATCTAGTTCCAACCCCCCTGCTATGGGCAGGGACACCTCACACTAAACCACTCCACCCAAGGCTCTGTCCAGCCTGGCCTTGAACACCACCGGGGATGGAGCGTTCACAACTTCCTTGAGCAACCCATTCCAGTGCCTCATCACCCTCACAGGAAAGAACTTCTTTCTTATATCAAATCTAAACTTCCCCTGTTTAAGTTTGAATCCATTACCCCTTGTCCTGTCACTATAGTCCCTAATGAAGAGTCCCTCCCCAGCATCCCTATAGCCCCCCTTCAGATACTGGAAGGCTGCTATGAGGTCTCCATGCAGCCTTCTCTTCTCCAGGCTGAACAGCCCCAACTTCCTCAGCCTGTCTTCATACGGGAGGTGCTCCAGTCCCCTGATCATCCTCATGGCCCTCCTCTGGACTTGTTCCAACAGTTCCACGTCCTTTGTATATTGAGGACACCAGAACTGCACACAGTACTCCAAGTGAGGTCTCACAAGAGCAGAGTAAAGGGGCAGGATCACCTCGTTTGACCTGCTGGTCACGCTCCTTTTGATGCAGCCCAGAATACGGTTGGCTTTCTGGGCTGTGAGCACACACTGAAGCCAGCTCATGTTCATTTTCTCATTGACCAACACCCTCAAGTCCTTCTCCACAGGGCTGCTTTGAATCTCTTCTCTGCCCAACCTGTAGCTGTGCCTGGGATTGCTCTGACCCAGGTGTAGGACCTTGCGCTTGTCATGGTTCAACTTCATGAGGTTGCCATCAGCCCACCTCACAAGGGTGTTGAGGTCCCTCTGGATGGCATTCCTTCCCTCCAGCATATCAGCCGAACCACACAGCTTGGTGTCATTGGAGTTGATCTAGGCCTATATAAATGTAAAAAAATTTAACAATAACTGTCAAGAAAACTCACATGCAACAAGATTTGGGAGGCTTGTTTCAATACAACTTTTTGTCTCATCTTGATCTAAGCAGTTTCTGTACATTACTTGTATTGCAAAGACAGCAGAAGTTTCCCATACCAACTTATGCTGAAAATTATACTCTCCTTGAATATTTTCTGTTCTGGTTGCTTCATTGTTAGGTCTTCATCGTGGAAGATATATAGATGCATGCTATATTTATTTAGCTACAATGTAAATAAAAAGTCAGATGCACATGCTGATGAAATATTGCCTTTGTTTGGAAGTTCTTAGCTACCTTCTGCAGTAAGACCTGGAGGACCAAGTGTAGGCTGCTGCTTGTTTAGCTGAGTGGCTACAGAAATTGGCTATCTCAAAACGTACTTATGGTAAAAACAGTGATTATAAACAAACATTTAAAAGTGTGTTTGAAATGTGACTTTTTAGTTCCTGCCTGTGAAGCATCCCCTTAAAATGCTGAAGATTTAAAGTAAAAAAGTTTACTTAAAAAAAAGAAACAAATGAGAGTGATGCTGAAGTTGCCAAGTTCCACAACCATGACACCTTTTCCCTGTGCTTCACTGCAATAACTTTCTCTGAAAGTTAATATTAGCTAATATTTCTCTGTGATATTATGTAGTACATAGAATTGTCTCTGTGGTTTGGATTCCACAGCTAAATAAAAATCCATCTCTCTGGAAAGTAAGTTATTACACAATTAGAAATTTCACATCCATACAATACAAACTGATCTTAGAAAACAAACAAAAGTTCACTAGGGAAGGAAGAATATAATTCTCATTGAACTTTGCTACTTTGAACAATGTTTTAAATACATGAATAAGCACACTGTTAGAACAAGCTGCTAAATAAAATGTCTGAAGTTAGTAATTATCAGTTTTAGGCCTGACTAACTAAATTACCACTCACTGAGGGTATAACAGTAATTACCATTATTGGGGTCCAATTTTGAATGGCAATCAATGTTCTGACTTCACAGTACAGAGCCATTCACACACTGTTAGTGGGAAATAGAAAAAAATATCTCAGTTTTAATGTCTCAAATGGAAGAATGTCTCAAATGGAAGAGAAAATTGCTCACTAGAGTTTTTTTTGTGGTAAATTAAAAGCCACTCTGCTATTTTTGTTTCTTTTGTGCTGTTGCACTCATATCTCACTACATACAGGTGAAATTTATGGTGAAAAAATAAATAGTGCTCAGGCATAGAAAATGGCAACATTTGAGAATTATTCTTTTAGCTTCATAACAAAATGAAATAAAGAAAATGGGACCAGGATATATATCAAAAGAATGATATTTAGTATAGTAAGCAAAACATACGCTTTTAGAAAGTATTGTAACAATAACTCTTTGCCAAGAGCATGGACTTTTTCAGGCAGAAGAATAGCAAATGCAGAAGACTATAAAAAAAAAAAATGTTTTTTTTTATCCTATGAATGTGCAGAATTCAACTGTAAGGGGAGATATTTTAAATATAACTTAATATAGATAAGAAAAGGGTTAAATGTTACATAAATCACAGTACCATCTGTAAGTATGTAAAAACTTTGAACAAAGAAGTAAGAGCTGTCAAATCTTATTCTTCAGAGGAAAAGAGCAATTGCAGTCTAGGATAAGGTGAGAAAACATAGCAGGATGCAACACTTTAGGTATTTGTCCTGTATTTCTATGAAGTATTTGCAACAGGTTCTGCTGTAGTTCAGATTCTTGAATTAGAGAGGAATATTATTCTTTCATTATATGCCTGTGCTCTGAAATAACTTCTGTAAAAGTTGCAACGAAGTTGAAATAATCTTCAAATATAGCCGAGTCAAAATCTACTCTTTTTTTCCCTAGCAGAGAAATGCAATTTGTATGTGTGATTGTGTTTATGAAATGGGATGTTGATTTTTTTTCCTGTTTTAAATTTTCTGGTTATATACAGAGAGTTTACTTTAAGGTAGTTCAGGTATTTCTTAAATACATAGAAAACAGATTTTAATGGTCTTTAAAATAGTTTACTCTTACTGTAATTTTATAGAGTTTGTTCAAACAGAACACTTAAATATATAAACATCTCTGTTTCTCTGTGAAGAGAAACATTTTTATATATTTTTATCTATTTTATATATATGTATTTTTATATCCTCCACATCAGAAGTACCTTCTGTCATTCCCTGAACACCTGCAAAACCAGAAACCTCAGCATATGAAGCTGATGCAGCTACAGGTAGTGGACTGCCAGCACTTGATGGTTTTCATATTATCATATTGCAACATGATAGTGCCAAGTATCACAGTATATAGAACCGTGCATGCAGGGTCAGTGGGATATCTGGAGGTTAAGAGTTTGCTGGAGGAGCAAAGCTATTGTGTGACTACTTGGGAAGGGAAAACTGATGGTGCAGCAGCCTGTGGTAGGAGATGATGGAGCTCTAATCATGTGAATCATCTCTCCATAGTTTTAGCACCTAATAAATTTGGTAGCAGTTGAAATTACTAACATTGGAAATCCTGATATCAATGTCTTGTCTGTTGTTAAACTGGACCAAGATATGGCCCATTGCCTACACAGGCTGAATATCAGTGGAATGGGAATGAGTCTTAGCACCATCATCAATTTTTGAGTTGTCAGTGTATTGAGTTGATTTTTTATAGTATTTATTGGGCTCACATATTCGAGCAGGACAGAATACTAAGTTTCTCTGCATCTGCTTTTTTTACTAATCTAGTGTTAGAGTGATGTAACACAAGGCAGGTAAATGTACAGAACTTCAGTGGGTTCTATTTTCAGCTATAGTTGTCCTTCAAAGGACATTTGTTTTTTGTCTTTATCTCATTCATCTTAAAGTTTGTTAAAAGGACCCTGGCCCTTTGTCCTATCACCTGGAAGCTGCTTGTTATTATAATTGCTAATGCTCATGCCTTTGCCTTTTAGGTAGTGATGTTTATGCTGCAGTTGGGCAGTGCCACACTCTTATTAACAGAACCAGTGATAAGTGCAATGACAACAGGAGCAGCTACACATGTTGTGACTTCACAAGTGAAGTATCTGCTGGGAATGAAAATGCCATATATATCGGGACCACTGGGATTTTTTCATGTGAGTCCAGTAAAAGAGATGGTTATTCCATTAGCTAACATTTTCTTAACCATGTTGTTTGGCTATATATAAGAAATTCGTTATGTGTGCTTGTGAATGAACAGAAAACATTCATCTTGTTAGGTCTATTTGTAAGAACTTGTTAGGAAAACTTGATAAAGGATTAGCACAAATGGGTCTTATTTTGAAAAGATACAGAAATCAATTTAAAATATGTGTATTACAGCATCAATAACTCAATTTACTATCCTGAGGAATTACACATTTGTACACGGAGGTTTAACTCTTTCTGTATTAGCACATGGGAGGGATATATCCAAATGCCATTCTAAACATATTTTCTTCATATTTTACTGAATGAAATCTAACCATCATTGTGGCAAAAGGAAAATACCCTGTGATTTGTAGATCTCCTACGCAAAAATTGCCCTAGATATGTTGCTTGTTGCATCATTGCATTATCTTACTTTGCCATGAGCACTGCAAGGGTACAGCTTTAATGTAATTTTCAGAAAATGCATACAGCCTTCCATACAGTATCATGGCTACTCCCTTTGGAAAGTAGATATTGTTGGCTGAAGCCTTAAAGGATAAAGTTATAAAATCCTATTGCATAAAAGATATGAGAACATACTCTTTATGGTAACTCATTCCAGCAAACCTAGAGTTTAGAAGCTGTGACCATAATCTTTTGGCTGAAGCATTAGTAGTATTACAATGTTATCTGTCAAAATGATATTTTGATCATAATAGAACTTTCTTTATTTGTTGTGATGGTATTTACATTGCACTGGTAACAATAAATGGATTACCAGATGAAATGAGGCTTAATCTAGTTAACCACTAAATTAGGACACCTTATTTAAAAGCATTGACTTTATTTTCTTGCACTGTTCTGCTCTTTATTTTTTCCTGTTATTTTGGGTAATTTGTTAATGTTAATTCTGTGATGAGAAGGTGTTGCTTTTTTCGAATGTTATTTCATAATACTTTGTAAATTTGATAACAATTCATATGGATGTGAAGTATGAAGTTATGCATAACTTCATATGGATAATCCATTGGTAAGTTTTTCACAAACTGTAGTTTGTAAAACTAGTGTTTTACTAGGGACTGTAGTGACAGGACAAGGGGTAACAGGTTCAAACTTAAACAGGGGAAGTTTAGATTGGATATAAGGAAGAAATTCTTTCCTGTTAGGGTGGTGAAGCACTGGAATGGGTTGCCCAGGGAGGTTGTGAATTCTCCATCCCTGGCAGCGTTCAAGACCAGGTTGGACGAAGCCTTGGGTGACATGGTTTAGTGTGAGGTGTCCCTGCCCATGGCAGGGGGGGGTTGGAACTAGATGATCTTAAGGTCCTTTCCAACCCTAACTATTCTATGATTCTACAGGACCAATTTATTGTGCTAAACACAAGTAATTTATTTTGCAGACATAAAATTAAAAGTGTCAGACATTTTTATGAGTAGTCAGCCTAGTAGTCATTGCAAATGATTCATCATATATTAAAATATTTTGTAATTCTTTAAAAACGTTTTCATAAATACTTCTTGATATAAAATTTGACTAGTCTCTTTTTCATGGTGTTTCCATGGAGACTATACTTACATATAGGAATATTGTCATCTTGTAGAAATGACTGGTGTTAAGTGCCACAGCCCAGACATAATCAAAATATACATTATGAGCAATAATAAAGAACAGCAATGATACAAAGAAATATTTCCATGTTGGTGTGCTGATCATATCATAAATGAGGTCATTCAAATGCTTTGAAAGAAATATATTCCCTTACCCCCTGTATTTTTCAATATCTGTGAAGCAAGTTCTTTGCTCTTCACTTCACTTCTGAAATCAAACCAACCCCTTTGAACATTTTCCAAAGAAAAATTGTCCTGATTTTTTTAAGGTTCTGAATTGCTCTGTAGAGTTATGTGAAAACAAATGAATAAACAGAAAACCACCTGTACGACGTAAAAGAATAATAAAAATGTCTCATATTTAGAAAGGAAAATTTTACCTGAGAAGTCTTTTAAAAGTTTCTGGTATCTATCTGTTCAGAGTTTGGGCTGCTTTAAGAAGGTCTAGTACCCAAGTCGGAAGCACCAATTTGAATTTTAACATTTTCTTTTTTCACTAGTAGTAGTTTTATATGAAAATTATACTAATTAGATATCTCTTAATGTGTACAATTAAATAGAGAGTGAAAGGCAAATTTGGCATGTCTCTCTGGTCATGTTTTTTACTCCAAATTCTTGAAACCCAAAGACTGGTATTTTTGCTTACTTTTTTTTTTAATTTCTTCACTCCAACACCTCCCGCTCACAAAGCCAATTGCTTCACCTGAGGCAGAACTTGGGCTGGCAAAGCAGGATAAGAATGTTTAATAAAGTGTGATAGGAGAGTTGAAAGTGAAGCTAGCCAGTGAAACCAATTATTTATAGCAAGTGAGATCATTATGAAATATGTAAAAATGAACTTTGTATATGGAGAAAAATTCTACTAGGCTGGCATTGAGCCTATGGGATTTTTGTGTTTGCACACTGTTTGTGTCATTTATTAAATTTCATTTTCCCGTACGTGGTTTGTAACTCTGCAACTGAGCTGCACATTGTGTCATCAATTGGTATTTTGCAAATGGGAAAGGCAAGGTGAAGAAGAAAAATGGTGAGAGAAGGCTACATGTGAGATCTGATTTTTGCAAGAGACAAGAAAAGCATTATCAAGTTCTACTTAGTATCTGAAAACAGAAAACATATCTATATTTGCCCAATATCCATGTGTAGATTTATCTATCCTTCCACAAATTTCTGAGAAAATGAAGAACTCCAAAATGAAATGCAACGTGATGAACTTACTTTGCAAAACAGGTTCTTTTTTTGGTTGTGTTGCAAGTTTGTGATAAAACCCCTGTGGTTGTGCTGCCTTCATGTTCCCACTATCCATCTTTTTTTCCCCCCCTTTTTTTCCCCCTATTTGCCTCTTATGCAGTTCGCAGTAGATGCTTGTACTTTTTTCCCCACAGTGTGTTGTAGTTGTCTAAAAATATCAGAATGAACCATTTCTGAAAATAAAATGAAGTTGTCTAGTCTTAAATTGTATTAAGTTTTTTAACTAATATGTTCCTTTAATTCTTTTGTCTGCTTCAGCCTCTATGCTCATTTTAGAATGAATCTTTTGGGTTTTCGTGATTACATTTAAAAAAAAGAATCTCGGCTTTTCATTAATACATTAGAATACACATCCTTTCTAGAATAGAAACCATTATGGTGTTCATTATTACCATATGAAAGTATGTGAAAACATAATGGGGCTCAAAGTCATTAATTTCCCATGAGAACAGGGACATATATATATGTATATATATTTATATATATTTGTGCGAAGTAAGAATATTGTTTTTTTTCACTTATGTGCAAATTGCATCGGTTGCCAAAAAAGTTCACTGATTCCTCACCAGATTGACACATCATTTCCCTTAAAAATTTTTACACAAAGCTAACCAAAAAAGTAAAAAATCTAAAGGCAAACAGCTGAATATATTATTGCTATATCTTTTAATTTTGTTATTTACATAATGACACAAAAAAATTGCTTTTTACACTATAATATCAAACTAAATTCTACTACATAATTTCTATACTATTTCAGTAAGTACATCACCAAATGATCTAAAATACTGAATTTATAATGTTTGTGATGAAAACATTTCTAAATATTTCTTTTGAATCAGATAGCAGTTATATTACAAGCTTGAACCCTAGGTGTTTACATTTAGGATTTACATTTTCACCTCAAAAGAGTACAGTAACTGTCTGGATAGCGTAATATATGAACTGTATAGTACAGAGAGACGGCTATAGTATATGTTATAGTATATTGTGTTAATAGCCACAGTGTCTCTTTTTCTGAAGAGCTTGTGAATGGTTTGTAAAATGGTATCTTGGCTTTGTTGGTCGTAATGACATGAAATGGGCGTTTTTAGATTTTCAAGGAAAATGAGAACAGACTAGTCAGTGGAAGCTCTTTAGTCTGATGCAGTAATTGATTTAATATTTATGTATTGCTGCCAGAACTGTTTCAGCGTACTACAGACACTTTGGGGATAGGGCTGGTGGTACAACTGTGAAAAAGCGCAGTATGTCTGAAAAAGCTGTGACAAAGGTCTACAAGATTTGGCTGTATGTTTTAAATTTGAAATGGAAGTTTCTTTTCTAAACAATTTGTGAAGACAGACAGAAATACTAAAAGTTTTTGCATATTTCTTTGTAATCCTTTGTTAAAATTGTATTTATTCACCCAATCTTGTGTCTCACTGTCTAGGAAAATGAAATGAAATTCTGTGAACATATATAGCTAATGCTGACTCTTCAATAGACACTGTTCATTTCAGAACAAGCCCAAATCTCTTTGACTTAGATATTTAGGATTTAATCCATTTCCTTCCTTTTCTTACCACTTCACCTTAGATCTAGTTTAGCCTTTGGTGAGTTTGTGGGCACAGTTTGCAATATAGTTTTCCAGATTGCCTCCTTTTGTCCTAATTAATCACAGCTTCTGCTTGGACCCTGAGCCAAGTCCTGTCCTCTCATGAAAATTCATTCTTGGAAGTTATGGGTAGAGAGTTTAGTCTCAAGTCACTCAAAACACATTCCACATATAGTCTGATTGCAGTGGGGCAATATGTGGTTAAAAACCATGGGTTGATTACCATTCTTTGGAGTTACAACATATATAGGTCATATTATTTAACAAGTTGATTTTAAAATGTTCTCTGGGCTTCCAAGAAACATTTGTGCTGGGTTATACAGTGCATCCTTAAAAAAGGTCCAAGGGCTAAATTTTAAAGGACTTGACTCCATTTTTTCTCTTTATGAGGAAAATAACATATTGTTTATTTTACTGTAACTATCTTTAGGTTTTAAAATACTTTTTCCATTATATGTCATGAAAATAAAATGTATGAGAGAAGAAAAATCAGGAATTTCTTTCAATCTACTCATTCTTCAAAATGAGCATCAGCTCTTCAAGGAGTGACAGAAAAATAGAAAAAAGTTTTATCATCATGTTGATCGCCTTTTGCTAGAACAGGGTTCTTTCCTAAGATATTTTTTCTACCACCTTTTCCTTTCCAATATAAATATGTGTATTTAAACTCCAAACTGTCAAAACTTGTTAGCATTATACATGTTTTTGAGAATAGGTTCTCTGAAGCAGAAAATTATTAATCTTTATTTTGATAAGACTACAAGTGTCACTTTTCATTTATTTTAGTTGTTGCCAGAGAAAACACACTTTTAAATACCATTATTTCAAACTCAGTTGATTGATTTTGTTATCCTTAATGTCGTTGTTTAAAAAGAAGTTACTTGTGATGCAGTCTAAATCTACATCCTACATTTTAACTTCTGTTCCCTCTATGTTTATATTTCACAATAGGTCCCAGAGTACAAATGCAGAATTCAGGAGTCTGAGCCTACCTTATTTTTTACCCCTGCAACTTTAATAAACTTGTGTATTATATAAGCATATATATATATATTTCATGCCTCTCTGTTCCTCAAGGCAATACACTTTTATTCATGAGGCCTGAAAATAACTAGTGATAGCAATCTGATCTTTTCTTGATTTACTGGGACAGAAGTCCCATATAACATTCTTTAGCCCTTTTAACCATAGAAGTAAACTTGTAAGTTTTTTCATTACTTTCTATAAATCTGTTATCATACTGATTTATGCCTCATTTCCTGGATTCCCAAATTCAGTGTAGAAATGAAATTACAGTTCACTGTCATCTGTGCTGATGAGAAGGCAACAGCATTCTTTTGAGTCTGTTACTTACAACATTGCATTCATCATCAGATCCTTGTCACTCATCACCACTGATCATTCGTTCTGGTTTCAGCTGGGATTGAGTTAATTTTCTTCCTATTAGCTGGTGCAGTGCTGTGTTTTGGCTTCAGTCTGAGAATAATGCTGATAATGCACCGATGTTTTAGTTGTCGCTAAGTAGCACTCTCTGACCAAGGACTTTTCAGTCTCTCATGCTCTGGCAGTGAGGAGGGACACGAGAAGCTGGGAAGGAGCAGAGAGGGGACACCTGACCCAAACTAGCCAAACGTCATGCCCAGTATATGAACTGAAGGGAGTTGGCCAGGAGGTGCCAATTGCTGCTCAGGGATGGGCTGGCATTGGTCAGTGAGTGGTGAACAACTGTATTGTGCAACATGTGTGTTTTTTGAGTTTTATTCCTCTCTCTTTTTTTCTTGTTATTGTTACATTATATCTTTATTTCAGTTATTAAACTTCTGTTATCTCAACCCACAGGTTTTGCCTGCTTCTGAATCTCTTTCCCATCCCACAGGAGCCTGGATGGGGGGCAGTGAGCAAGCAACTGCGTGGTACTTAGTTGTTGACTGGGGTTAAACCATAATTCTATTCCTGTTCCATATTTCCATTCCACATGTTCCTTATATTCAGCACCACATTTCCTTTATTCATCATAGACCCAACTATATTTTTCTGGTGATGTTTTACAGCATGTTGCAGCACACTTTGAGAAGCTGAAGGCCTCCTGTTTGCAGCTCTGTAGGTCTGATCCAGTTTCCTCTTTCTTTTTTAAGACTGCAGTCATCTTCTCATGTGCAGTGATATAGTCATATACCAACAACCCAGAACACGTTGCAGCAGGACTTTGAACCTTATGGTCCATCATGCTGTACCACTTTGCACCCTTGCACCTGCAGTTCTTGGACCTTGCCATGGATTTTCCCCTGGAAAGCACCTGCCACTGGCTTGTGAATTATCACTTTGTCCCTTACCCTCTTTTTGCTTCTTCCTTTGCAATTCTTAAGTATAGGCCAAGGAAAGACACAGGGCTTAGTAGATAACATCAGTTATTTATATAACCGATAACATGCATACACAAGTTTGACAGCTAATTAATGCATGTGGCATCTGGACCTGATCAAAGCCTGCTCCATGGAGCACTGTGTGTGTGATGGTCAAGAGCAAGCAACAAGGAGACTGAGTGCACCCTACTGAAGCTATACAGTTACTCTGGAAAAATAAACCTTTGTGCACAGAAGCTTCTCTCAACATTTTTGTGCAACACTCATCTCACTGAATTTAATGAGACTGATTAAGAAGATACATATCACATTTACTGTAATTGTCTTGCTTGCTTCTATCAATAGAAATTTGTAAATGCCTATAAACAAATATTTGCTGCATTTTTTGAGATCTCAGAAGTCCATAGTAATAATATTTGGTGATTTTCTTCCTTGCAAAATCTTACATGTAGGCCAATATGTCAGATGACTCAGCTCCTGCCGTACTGATTCAGCTCTCACAGAGTATTTAAGATGTCTGAAGTTATGTAGAATATGCCCTAGCATGTGACCCAAAATCATCTTTTTTTTTTGATATGTGATTGTTATTTGCCATTCACTGTAGATTTATGCCTACATATTTGAGAATATCAGATCAGTTCAGTTGGAAGCTCTACTTCTCTCCTTGCTGAGCATTGCAGTGCTTGTTCTTGTTAAAGAACTAAATGAGAAATTTCAGAAAAACATTAAAGTTGTTCTTCCCATCGACCTCCTTTTGGTAAGTACAGAATCAAATATCAGGCTTTTCTGTTTACAAAGATTTCAGTGGTTCAACTAATCTGCTGAACTTTACCGTGTTGTCTACAGCTATCCACAGGCATGCCTGCTATTTATTAAATGGACAGCTAATTTTCATGGCTGTACGTTAAATGTAAGAACAGGGAACAGTTTGGCTATATAATTAAGACAGAAGTGACATACATTCCCAATTTATATAATATTTTTCATTTGTTTATTACTTTTTACATAATAAGAACATGAAGCCTAGAATATTAAAGCATAAGAAGTTTGAAATGGAAAATGAAAAGTAACTGGCACATTGTAACTCCAGGCAAGTCTTGTGCTGTGTAGTTGTGGCTTAGATGCTGTTTGTTATCTATATGCGACAAGGTTAAATAGCTATGCTATTGTTTTCTGTGGTTTTACTTATAATTTTCCTTTCACACAGCATAGGCATGAATTTAGAAAAGATGGTTGAAGAAGAACTATGATGCCACTAACTGGAAAGGCTCCCAAGGCTTCACAGAGGCTTGTACAGATCCCTTTCATTAACACAAAATATACAAACTCCACCATAGTTCTTCAGCCATCTTTTCTAAATTTATTATTGTGTCCAGATCTTAGTTTCTTTTGACTCTCTTCTACATCTGCAAAAATGTTCATAATAATATTTCCATGTCTTACTGGATTGATCTAAGGATAAATGAATGAACGCTATCATGTGCTTAAGTATGGCAATAATAGGGACCATGTGAAAAACTAAAACCAATAGAAATGTAACACCTTTTTCTCTGTTGAATCAATAGATAATTGCTGCATCCGTTGCTTGCTACTATGCTGATATGGAATATGTCTATGGGCTAGAAGTTGTGGGACATATTCCTGAAGGGTAATGTGGCTCTTATTAGCTTGTGGTTTTTATGTATGTTTACTTCTGAGAACAGTCTCTGAAGAGGTCAAAGAAGTTTTCTGAAATAATGGCAAAAAAGTTTTATGTTAATTTCCAACCTCCTCACTCTCTCACAATTGAACCCCATGTTATGAAGGTATATCAGCATAGATATCATTGTCAAAATACAGGGTTTCTTGTACATTTTTCTAGTTTTTTTATTACTTTATGGAATAACAAATATGTACTAAGTACCTGATAATGGCTGATGGATGTAAAACAGGAGGGCAGACCACTCTCTACAAGATTATTGCAACCTCCTTTTTGAGGGTTGTCTTGGATTACTGTAGCAGAAAGGATTTGCAATGTGATTGAGTTTGTAGATTACTACACTTTATTCTTCTCCACTCACTTACACAGTAATTTTAGAAAATGTGGTTCCTGAAGAAATATAAAGGATTTAGATATATAAAGGATTTAGAAATATAAGGAATATATAAGAAATATAAAGGATTTAGATATACTTAATCTAGAAAAAGAGCATTCTGACATAGTGATACATTTTTCTCCATAACCTTGAAGAGGAGGAAAAAAATACTTGAAATAACTAGCAGGAAGAGAAATTAGGTTAGATGTTAGAGGGAATGTTCCAACTCAAAGGGTTGGTAAGCACACCTTTTGTATAATCTCCCCTTTGCAAATTGCAGAGTTTCCCTAAATTTCCACAAAATGTAAGTCCTGGACAACATCAATGCATGTGTGGCAGCTTACACTGATAGAAATGAAATAAAGGAAATAGCTGAAACAGAATTTCAGTTTTAAGTATTTAGAGTATGCTATTGCATGCTATGTATCTGAGATAAACACAGGGCTAAGTGTGTCCTTTCAATATATGTTATGAACAGTTACAGTATATTCATGCAGCTTTAATCAAGGGCTTATTTTCTGCCTAACCTTGCATAAGAAGATTCTGTAGTTTGAAAAACAAGAGCAGAGCCTGAATCAGTCTGATGTATTTTTAGCAATTTACTTGAAATACATAACCGCCTTGTCAGTGAAGAGTGCTAGAAATGTTAAGGGCATGATTTGGCTCCTAGGCAGTGTGATTTGTACTCTGAAGAGAATGAACCCTTATTGTGGGGTATGGAGGCAAGCTAGAATAGTTTGGTTCTTGACTGAGGCATTTCATTGCAATCCCCATTAAAAAGTCTCTGTTAGATGAAATAAATAGCCACACTGTCCATAATCTACAGGAATACTAAATTGTTTAAAATGTTTAAATTAAACGCTACAGGAAAGCCAACTGTAAAAAAGAAAAAAATATACAGAGGAGTCTCTTTTATTAAGCATTACAGAATTAGGGAATGGTTGCTTATTTTATCTGTCAGAGAGGGAGTTAATTTATAAAGATCCCTTCATAATTCCTCAGATTAAAGTTCAGAAATAGAACGATCTATCTGAAACTGTTTCATCTTCTCCTGCAAATTCTCCTCTGCAGGTCCTTACAGGCTGGTCTTCTTAATCTAAATTACTGAAAATTGTCACCTTACAAGTATTACAAAAGTTAGCTGTGCATGCAGAGATAGCTTATCTTTTATCTCCATGAATTGCAGGTACATGCAGGCTATGTATCAGGCTTCTAAAAAAGGATTGTCTTTATTTTTTTAATAGGTTACCCTCTCCAAAACCACCACCCATGAATGTCTTGCCTGAAGTAGTCACTGAAGCTTTTGGAGTAGCGCTGGTTGGTTATGTAGCATCACTAGCTCTTGCCCAAGACTCTGCTAAAAAATTTAAATACACTGTGGATGACAACCAGGTAAACCTCTCTCTCCTTATGGTCCTTGAAATTGCTTCACAATTTTGGAAATGCAAAGCAATTTTCAAAATTCCTGGATTTCCAAAATAGATAGATGCCCAGTAGGAAAGGCATCAGGAAAGGCATATGGCATCCCGAGGCCTTCCACCGATTACAGTAAATCCCAAATGTCCAAATTAGCTCTACAGAATGCTCAGGTCTCTAAAGTATTTTTCAGAATGAATACATTGGGTCGTGAATTTATATTGATGCTTCAGAGCCATGTTCTCCAAGGAGCAGAGGGAAAATGTTTTGATCTTAACACAGGTCACACTTCAGGGAGATATGCTGCATTGTCTGAAGGGCATTAAACGGAGTACAGCAACATGCCTGTCTTTCTGGACCTCTGGAAATCTTGTAGCTTACACAGCTTAACTACTGAGATGTTGGAAACTAGGTGTAAGTCTACATGGAATAATGGAGCCAAACAGCAAAACCTCCATGACATCAGAGACTACAGTGGCAAGATCTGGCTGTATTGCCTTCAGGAGCCAGACACAGGGCTCTGCATGTTGGCATGTGGCTATGTAAAGCTGTCTGGGGAACTTTTAAGTTCTTATGCTGTGAAGACAAAGTTATGCACAGGTGTTGTCCTGGTTGGATACAATACCATTTGTGTCCTAAACACTTCTAGCAGTATTGAGGTGTTTTCTTACACATTAATCTCAGCAGACAGACTCCTTATAGTCTGGGGAGATGAATGGTGCTGGGAAGCCAAGTTGGGTGCTTTCTAAGAAACTTTCTTCAGATGGCTCTGCAGATACAAGGTGGCTTCTCCACTTTTTTGTTCTAACACCAGATGCACTTACAATGAAAGACAGATAGCATGCAGATAGGATTGCTACCGTATTTTGCTTTCACTAAAGTATGTTCCAAGAGAAAAAAAATCAGTGGCTGTCTTTTTCCAGTAGAGTCATAATCTAGAAACAGCTTGAACACCATCCAGATCCCACTACTTGAGGCCTGTTAAAAAGCAGATGTGCATCAAGATGTAAATATTTTTGTTGACCTTAATCTTCAAAATTTAGCAATACCTTTTATGTTGTGAACAAAATGTGCCTCCTGCTTTTGACGAATCTTTTTCAGCAGTTTTATCATTCAAATTAGAGTTGTGAGAATATATGTTCTATTGGGAGATCTTTTATCGTGTAGGTATGTGATTTTTTTTTCCCTCAAACATCCTTTGTCATTGCTAATATTTACATAGGGGACTCTTCTGTTGGCAAGAAACATTGAAATGACAGAAAAGTAAGAAAAAAACATATTCTGTTTAACAACTTTGCAGGAATTTTTGGCTCATGGCCTCAGCAATGTGATTCCTTCATTTTTCTTTTGCATACCAAGTGCTGCAGCGATGGGACGGACTGCACTTTTGTACAGTACGGGCGCCAAAACACAGGTAATGGGTTAGAGTGGAGTATGTAGGAGAATTAAGGCTATGGTACTGCTCAATGGAACTTGTACTGGATTTATCCATTTTCCTATTCTCCCCTTTCCTCTGCCCTGGGAAATAATTTGTTATTTTTAACAACCTGCATGGAATTCAACTGTCTTACTAAAAAAGCTAATGGTTCTATTTATTAATTTCTACTTGTTTAATTCAATCTAAACTCTGAAGCCTGTGGCAGTAAGGAGGTTGGGAGTTGTATTTTCAGGCTGCAGGAAACGGCATACAATTTTATGTGAGATTTGTCATAACCCTAACAAAAGTGCCCTCTAATGGTGTTTAATGGATTTAATGATACAGGCTAAACTGAAGTTTTAGAAAAAGGTCAGATTTAATTTGGTGCTTCTACCTGATTTTAAAATTAAAGTGAAAGTAACCAATTAATCTACTAACTTTTGCTTTGTGACACAGTGTACTTGTCCTGTCCCTCAATATACACTGAGCCCACAGAGAAGACACTTAGATTTTTGAGGGTTTTGGTCTACTTGCTAATGTTGACAACTAAACCCACAAGTTCAGTAGCTCAGAAAAGAGGGAACTGCAAGTGAGGAAAATGATAGTTGTGACCCTGTGAGGCTGTTACCCGTTCAGATCATGCTCATGGACAAGAGAGGTTGCAAACTGCTCAGTAGTGACCTACCCGTGTGATGGGCCACCTCAACTGGGGAAGCCCCCTAAGCACTGCTTCTCCCCCTTTCCTCTGAAACTCCAGGGATTCATCAGGGGCATTCTGCCATCTAAATGTTTTGTCCTTTGATGTTTGTTGCCATTGTCTTCTTACAACTGTTGCTCTTGCCTGTGTAAAGGACATTGATTGCAAGGAAAAGGGTAATAAGATACAACTGATAAGGCTATGTGCAGTCCGTAGGTATCGTTTCTTCTTGACCATATCCTGCAGTTATTTCTCATGCAGATACCACAATACTGAGAAATGATACAGGGCTTTATTTCAAAACTTTACATGTTCAGTACTTGCTAATTAACCTACACAGTCCTCTGAACTCAGTTAATCATAATTGGTATTTTATCCAATAATAATCTTTAAAAGCATTTATATACAAATAGTTTAGCTAACATTTTGCTACTTGCTATTTCATGTTTTTGAGTTAGATGCAGTGTCATACCCCATGCCCTCATCCTCACATCCTCTTCTGTCACCTATTCGTGTGTTGTTTGTCCAATTTGCATTTGTGCTGCACCATGACTTTTCCAAGGAAGCTTTAAGGTAACCTGAAGACCTATACCTGAAAACCAATAACCTGGAGGTATATAGGGTGTTTGAGCACTTTGGCTCTGGTATATGTAGGCAAAGGCTCTGACAGAAGTTTTTTCAAATGTAAAATCAAAAAAGAAACCACCATAGTCTGAGTTCAAAGTAGGAAGTACATGGTAAAAATATCAAGTATCTGCTTGGTTTTATCCATTGGTTTCACACTATAGCAGAGCCTGCACCCAGAAGTTAGAGTGTGGGCATGCATTAGCACTACTAAGAGGGCACTTTAATAAACATAAAATTATCTCTCCTGCCTTATTTTTTGAAAGAAACACATCCACTTAATCGTCTGTATTTGGGGTGTCTAAGCAGAATGAAGAGATTAGAAAAATATCACTAATAAATGTTGGTCAGATCATAAGCAAAAAGTGAGGAGTAGCTTGGACTACATAGAATGAAGTCAGTTTACTTTGGCATATGACACAAAAGAAATACAAAGTGTCTTTCAGGGTCTCAAAGCAGCCCTTTTATCTCCAATGGCTATGTCTGGGATTCTGTGATGCCATTTATACTTCAGTGATATATTCTCCCCCACCCAAAAAAAAACAAGAAACAAACCAGAAGTCAGGGACTTTATTGTAGGATCATAGAATGGTCAGGGTTAGAAAGGACCTGAAGATGATCTGTTTCCAACCCCCCTGCCATTGGCAAGGATGCCTCACCCTTGACCATGTTGCCCAGCCTGGCCTTGAACACTGCTTGGGGTGGAGCATTTACCACTTCTTTGGGCAACCCATTCCAGTGCCTCACCATCCTCACAGTAAAGATCATCACAGGATAGAAGTGTACTTCAAATAGAATTAACACTTTTGGTTTTTTTTTTTCTTTTGGAAGAGTGGAAGGAGGGAAAACTTCCTTGTGACTTCACCAACAGATTTTGTGTCCCTTTTTCTGTAAATATTCTGTCCATCCTTCTTGATGGTATTTTCAAGTATATCATGGCTTTAATCTTCTAGTGTTTTAGCAACTTGTCTGGTTTTGTTTTTAACAACTTGTCTCTTAAAATGAAACCTAATTATTTTAGTAAAGAAACATATTATCAATATAAAAATACAGTGAGCATCTGTCTACTTATCATCAAAAAACTTATGTGAATCTGGACTCTATCTTAATGAGAAGTACTTCACTTTGTGAGCAATCAAAGTGGGGTAGGAGACTGCAATTTTACTGTAGATTTCCATCAGATTAATAACATATAATGCTATGAAGAGAAATATAATTCTTAGATCATATATTTTTCTGGATTCATGCCACCTGCATTAATTCTAATTTTTATATATTAAAAAAAAATGTTCCTACATTTTCTAAAGTCCACTGATAAGAATGTGAAATCATAGGTGGTTTCTGACTAAACACAATAGTTTCCTTTTACCGTTGATCCCAGTAAAAGAAGTTAAAAAACTTCTCTTGTGCAAAAATTCTGATAGTTCTCCGTATATAACTTTTGCTCAGTGTTATGACAGGTCTGTTATTTAGTGCAAGATAGGGTGCATGGCTATAAATATGTTGTAGAATGACAGTGGGTGCTGTAAAATTTCTGAGATGAGATATTGCACACACATGCTCCATTTAATTACAAAGTGTATAAGGGATGCTGTGGTCTGTGTCTGTGAGCTGTCAACAGGGTCAAGCACAGATGTTGAGATCTCTTACTATGTTTTCACTGTAGCTGGCTGAAGGTAGTCACCAGAAATTAAAACAATTAAACTCATCAGCAATCCATAGATACATTAACAGCTAACATGCTCAACATCTTGTCCTTGACTTTGCAATATTTGATGTTTATCTTTTTTCACACATTTTAATAAAAATTTCATTTGTTAGAGTGAATGATCTGCTTTTCTTGTTTATTGTTTTAGGTTGCTTGCCTTATCTCTTGTGCATTAATTCTTGTGGTGATATATGCAATTGGACCTATGCTGTACTGGCTGCCTATGGTATGGTAGTTATCTTCTTTTTTCAAAATTATGACATCATGCATTTTCTAGTGACTTGATTTCTTTCAGGGAAATATAGCACTACCTCTAAAAGAACACTGTTTAATTTCAATGGAAGAACAAATATTAAGGGCACAGCGAAGTCTCAGAATCATAAAATGCAGAGCTGACAACATAATACATAGATTTTACACATATAGAACTGCATATATAAGCTATCACATAAGCATTTCTCTTCCACTTGCTTTTGGCAAGTAGTTTATGAAAAATATACATCCAGATTGCTGTGTATTTGTAAATTGACAAAATGTGGTAGAAATGAATCAATTTTTATCCAGCTATGCATATGATATATGACTTTGCTTCTCAAATAAATTTGACAGAAATGATTGTAGCTAGTGATCTAAGGTTAATTAAGAGAGATTGTGAGGTGTTCTTACATCTCTGTCACGGAATACATCTTCTACGCTAAGAATCTATAGAGCAAGGTGGTGTGTTTTCACATAAGCTGTATCTTCATATACCTTATGTGAAATATATCTTCTGGTATTACAAGTTAATAGCTAATTTTAACCAGAAGCATGTTAAAGATGCAAAATACAGCTCAAAAATGATCCTGAATTCTGCCATGTGTGTACATGATATTTTAACTCAATTTTGTTTAAAATTTACTTTTTGCTATTGTTTACATAGTGTCAAATGAAGATTCTCACTTTTCAAACACAGATCCTTTTATAGTTTAACTATGCAAAATAAGGACACTTGAAGAGGGATGCACAATATGTCTTTTTTCTTACTATGCTGCTCTCCTGCCTTCTTTTTTTTTTTTTTTTTAGGGATTATATGTAAATTTTGACTGGTTTCCTGTAGACTTCCCCCTCCTCTCCCTATTTAAAAAAAAACTTTCTATTTGTTGCTTTCTAGATATTTTATTTCTTTTCTACTGTGTTTTCTTAGCCTCCCCACCTATATGCTGCAAGTCCACCGCTTTGTACTCCATCCTTTTTGGCTTCAGATAATTTCTTCATCCATCTCCTCCCCATTTCTGATTTGGAGAACAAGAAATGATTTTGTTTGATCCAAGTTTATGGATTTTTGCTCTAAAGGCCTTCTCTAGGTGGTGAAGAAGGGGAATTAAAATTCTTCACTCTGTAGAAGTTGAGTGCTGATTTGCTCCTGAGTCACCCAAACTATGGCAGAATGTTGCTGATCTGGCAATACATGGAGAGTTTTGGGAAGTCATGAAGTTTCTGTTGTTTTTCTCACAATTAGGTGGCCTATAGATTGCCTTCAGGAAATAAAACAAATGGATTTGAACTGTTACAGCTGTATTCATGCAATTTTTGAAACATTAACTTCCAATTTTTTATGATTTAGTTATAATATTGACTGTTGAACTGAAGAAAGAGCATTTGTCTTCACTACCAATTCTGCAAAAAGCTTTTGGTTTTTATTTATTTGCAGTGTGTGCTAGCAAGCATTATTGTTGTGGGCTTGAAGGGGATGCTAATACAGTTCCGGGATTTAAAAAAATATTGGAATGTGAATAAAGTAGACTGGGTAAGTGAAACTTAATCTAAGGAGATCTCCCTGTGACCCTTTAACAAATACCTGAGAAATAAACTTTAATAATTCTGTGTCCCTAGAAGAGATAACCAAGCCATTATTTTAGGGGATTTGTGTCCTGTTGGCTTATTTCCTGTCTCAGAATAACAGCATCTGTAATACCAATTGTATTTAAAAAAGGGAATTAGAGCAAATGATAAAGAATTAAGCCTAATTCAATGTTAAAGGTGCGTATAAAATCAGATCAGGTTGATCTGAGCAGGTGTGTGTCTAATTTTGTATGCCTTCTCTAGCTGGTTAGCATGCTTTTGCTGTTGTAGTATTATTGAAGAGATTCTGGTATCTTTGTTCTCTGAGGGTATGGAATAATCATATGGGACAAACAGAACTGGAAACACTAGAGATGCAGACAGATACATGTCCTAGGGTGATGTAGGTAAATCATCTTAACTCCTTCAGATTTTGCAAACAGAGTATGCTGTTTGACCATAATGAAAGATTCTGCAGTATGAAAGGAGGAAAAAGCAGATAGATGGAAAGGGAAATAATATGAAAATCTAGTTTAATGCAGAGTCTTAATAGTCCAACATACATTTGCACAGAATTCCTAGCAAATATTAAAGATGTCTCCGTGTTTAGGAAGACTCCTAGGTTTTTTTTTCTGAGGGAGTTTTTGAATATATTCGCCAATTAGTGAAACCGAAACCTATGGCCATTTCCATAAACACATACTGATATTCCATAAAGCTTTTGAAACTTATGTTTATGTTGTTTAAGTTAACAAATATTTAGGAAAGTATTTCAGCTGTATCCTCCTTCTCTGTGGTGGGAGATACAGGTTACTGGAGGTAATACTGGGCTTTGAACACACCAGTGACTTAGTATTCTACAGCAGGAAGGGGAAGTCTAAACTGAGTAAAACACTTGTTTTTAAATAGAATACTGTATTTCAGTATGGAAAGCAGAGCTGAGTAACCTATACTGATTTGGTTATGTGAGATTTCATATTTTGTCACAGAAGACTAGAGGTTAGGGTTTTTGTTGTTGGTTTTTGTTTGTTTGTTTTTCACCATTCAGAAGAAAACCTCTATCTCTCACGAAGGCTTATGTTGTTCAAGCAGCAAAATTCTGAAAATATTTTCTACCCCATATTTCCAGTGACACAGATGGTGGATGATGTAGATCAAGGATTATTCTGAGTACAATGGGTTTAAGAAAGTTGGTAGTTATGAGAGAGAGAGAGCTAGCCTGTCTATCAGTGCATTGAAATAGTAAGCAGTTAAGTTTTCCAGGAGGGCATCCTGGAATCTCACTAGACTTGATGTATCTTCACAGTTAGACTAGCCTGACTGAATTTTTGCTTTGTGATTTTGATTTTGTGGTTTTGGCAGAAAAAGATGGGGGAGTAGTTCATATATCTCAAACATCTGTCATTATTACTAAGAGAGGTTATAGAGGGGGGGAGATTGCCTGGTTTAACTTTTTGACTGAACATACTTGAAAAATGATTTCTCTTCAAGTAGTTGTACCATCAGTCCTTAGCCTGACAGGGTAAATCATCTTGCTTTAAATAGCATAATCTAAAGTAAGGCTATAAACATTACACTGCTGCTTGGTCGGAGGAGCCCCAACAAGCCCAGTGATTTGAGTAGCTACGCCAGGGTTGGTTTTGGCCTGAAAAGATTCACCCCAGCAATTGAAAGCACATCAGAAATGAATCCGTTACATTACCCAGGTTATCCAAACTGTTTTGAAGATAGAAACTCTAACAAAACATGTGGAAATAATTAGCATCTGTCCTTTCTGGAACTGATTCTTTGAAGGGTGTGTGTCATTGTAGCACAGAAGTCAGATTTGTTGTGCTTATAAGTCTGTCAAATAATAGTGTGTGGAAAGGGAATATTATGAGGTTTCTTACCTTATTCCTTCACATTTTAAGCTTCACACTGAACAGAAACAGGATAAGTAATATTTACTTTTTGTTTAGTTATTATAAAACATCATCCTTTTAAATGTAAAAGGTACAGCTTGAAAGGTGTAGCTCAGGAGTTGGACTTGATGATCCTCATGGGTCCCTTCCGTCTCAAGATATTTTGTGAGTCTATGAAATTGTCCTTCAGCCATGGGTTGTTTTTTTCTTGCGTATTTAATATTTGGGAACAGCTGAGTTCAAAGGAGCTAAGCTGACAGACCTCACTAGGTAATACCAAATGTTATCAGCTGAATATTACTACATATATTTGGTTTGGTTTTCTTTTAACTTATTTTTTATCAACCCTCAGGAAACGTCCTGGTTTTACATGCCACCTCTCAAATCACATTAAATTTCTTTCTAGGTAAAACACCACTGCCCTTTCTCCAAAGTGCCTTTTCCTGCCTTTCACAGCATTCATATGAACTTCAAAGGTCTCTTGCCTCAGTTAAGGTCTTCTGTCAGTCCCTACATCTTCTTGGATGACTTCAACAATTTCAGATCAATAATTGTTCTATTACATGATATATATGCTAAACCCAGAACTCTATACATAACAGTATTTGACCTCCTTCCGTTGTCTTCATCTGTTGGTGGTTTCCAACATGTTGATTTGTGTGTTGCCTGCATTTTATACATTAACCTGAGAATGTTTTGTCATTAATTTTTTGCTTCTTTTTTTGGAGCAATCAGGAAGTTGATCTGGAATTCATCTTAAGTGTACTTCACTTTTCAGGTCATCAAATGGAAAGCTGATTTCCATATTCTTCCTGCAAGCCTCATTTCTTATGCAGGCATACTTGTTGACCAACTTCCCTTTATTCTCCAGTTTGAAGGTACCCTTTTCTGGTCTCAATAAAAAGGCAGTGAAGTTCTCATTAACTTAGTTTTTAAGGCTGAGCATCCCAGATAAGCTGGAGCAATTTAAGACTGGCAAAGACTACTGCTGAAGAAAATGTCCTTTTAGCTGTTAAGTTGGACTTAAAAGTGACCAAAGATGGAGAAAAAGTATTTCAGAAGGTGATGCTTTAAGTGAAAAAAACAACAGAATAAGGATTATTTTAAGGAGTTAATGTTACACATGGATTTTTGTACACATGGATTTAGCAGAGAAAATCTTAGACATTTAAAGAGAAGAAAATATTACAAAGTTGTGCAAATGACTTGGCCAGGAAATGATCACAGCAGAGAAAAAAGCGAAGTTGCATGCCTGACTTGTAAAGCAGAAAGAGTGGCAACAATTTGTGGTAAAAATTACACATTCCCTGCATGGTGTCATGACTGAAAGGCAGTTATTTATGTATGAATTGTATGTGTATGCACATATATTAATGTGTAAGGACATAAAAAATTATACTAATTCAGCAATTAAAGAGGATACAACAAAGAGCATCTCATTTTGAACAAGTATCCTCCAAGATCTTGCCAGTGTAAGTTTCTGAGCCTTGGATCCACCACCCTGTCAATTAAGTTTGTCACAGTAGTTTGGAGGAGGGGGAACAGGGAGGGTCTTCCATGGTATTTTGAAGCTCACTGGTCCAATTTCATGTATGTTTGAGAGCTTTTTAACTTGATATCCTCAGGGAGGACATGACCTTTTAGATTTGCTCAGGTATTCGTCAGATAGGGGCCCTGATTCATGACAGGGCTCTGAGATCTCTGAGGGCTTTGCTATATTTTCCACAGAGTAGGAAGCCATCTCTTCTATATAATAATTTACATGAATGCTTCTAGCTAATGACATTCTAGGGAGATTTTCTATCTTTACTTTGTTAGGAATATGCTGCCCTGAGTTACATTACTTTTGATGTAGTTAGTGCAGTGAGAAGGAATTTAAAAATGTTTAATCCATTGAAAGTATGACTGCTATATAAATTCTTTTTAAAGAATATGTCGTGGTTTAAACCCAGTCAGGTAACTTGTTCACTCACTCCCAGTGAGTGGTGCCAAGCTGACAACAATCAAGGTCCGTGTTCGTCTCCCCCCCCCCTCCCTGCACCGGGGCTCTCCCCTTCCCCGCTCCCGGAGGAACGGGGAGGAGGATCGAGAGAGTGCAACTCCTACGGGTTGAGACAAGAACAGTCCAGCAACAAATCACCACCGCTACTATCAGCTAAAACAATGATAAGGGAAAATAACAAGGGAAGAGAATACGATACCACCGGCCAAGAAAACGAGTTCCACCCGGAAGCTCCTGTCCTTCCGGGTAACTCCCAGTTACCCCCCACCCCGGGCATGACGTGCTGTGGTATGGAATACCTCCCCGGCTAGCCCGGGTCAGGCGCCCCGTCTCTGCTTCCTCACAGCTTCCCCTCCTCCCTGGCAGAGCATGAGCCTCACAGAGTCCTTGGTCAGGGTAAACATCACTTAGCAACAACCGAAAACATCGGCTTCACCAACGCTGTTCTCAAAACTAGAAGTCAAAACACAGCACTGCACCAGCTAACACAAAGGAAAAAAAACATGACTGCTACTGCTGAACCCAGGACATTATCCACCCCTTATTCCATACCATTCACGTCGTGCTCAGATCCCACATTTTCAATACACCATCGCTCTCCCACATATATACATCCATATACATACAGACCAAGAGGAAAAAAAATCATTTTCTTAGTGCATGGACCAATCCCTATAATGCTGCCGAGTCCATTCGGTCCATGATGTTCCAAGTTCATTCTCTGTTGGGATGATGGCTGGAGGGAAGTCAGGGCCAGTCGCTGGTGACCTGGAGACATCTAGTTGATGGGCTATAAAAGCATTACACAGCAGGCAACAGCATACAATTGAGTTCACTGGCTGTTTTCCCCTAAAATCAAATCCCCTTGAGGTATACATCGGACTTCCCCATCTTCCCGCATTACCCACCAAGTATATCCAGGTCCCTGAGCAAAAGCAATCCCACGAGTGGGTTTGCCTTTACCTGAAGCAGGAATAACCCAGACTGTCTTCCCCAGCAAATTCTTCATATGCACCACGGGAACTTTGTCCCCCTCTACAATATGTAAAAGTTCTGACTGGG